AAATTAGATCCGGCTCAGGACTTACCCTGCACTTACCTTCACAGCAAAAACTTAACTGCTTTTCATCCTTTCATGTTAGAAATGTTGCACTTATTCGAGCAAAGAGAAGGCCCAAATGGCAGCTTGTGTTCATGTGTAGTGTACCATGCAGAGCACAGGAATTTACACTCAAAACTCTTTCAGCGTTAACCCACAGAACCGGTTCTGTTGGTCCACTCACTTCAAGGCTGTTACCTCCAGTCTCAACCGCTCCTCCTGCTCTGTCATTGTTGCATTCATTTTTGATACATTTAGGCAATTTTGCATTTTGTATTTTTTTTTTTTAAATAAGGTGACAACAGGGAGGTCACGCTGCTGTTCACAAAGCCTTCTGGTTTGGTGGTCCGGTACAGCCTGACGGAGAGCTTAAGCACGCCAAAGCCCTCTGGGAGGTGGAGATAAGGAAAACGGGCATAAAAAGCAAATAAAGCAGCTTTGCTCATGGAGTGAGACGCTAACACGAGCGTGCTTTACGTGTCTGGATGGGGCGATATCATCTGTCTGGAGCAAACGCAGCATTAAAACCTGCTTAGGTGTAATTTGGTTATTCTAAACATTTCACTATAATAAAATCCGTCATCCATAACTTCATGATTGCTATGTTCCAATTTAGAAGAGCTGACGTAAGTGCAGCTCTGTGGAAAAAGTAATACGTATGTGTATTACTGAAGAGTAACCTAAAATAGCAGTTGTTTCCACGTCTTTTCCGGATGTCAGATCAGTCTGAGGACTGTTGTGGTGCCCACGGTCTCTAATTCATTTGCAAGCCAAGAGAACTGCGGTTCTCATCTTTCCAAATAATGACTTTCCCAGCGTTCTCCGTCTGGAACTTAAATTATCACATGAAAGCTTAGAAGCAACGACATGAATTACAAACAAGAATACCAGCCGAGCGGCTAAAATACTCCGCGTGGTTGGTAATTTAAGGACCAGTTCGGCCTATTTTATTGTTTAGGATGGTTCAATATGAATGAAAGAGTTTAATGAGCCTTTGCTAACGTGTATTATCATCTCAGACAGCATTAAATATGAAATGTTGCTGTTTTCAAAGCTGGTTTCGAGGTTTAAAAGAGGATTTAGAGGCAGCCATTTGTCAAATTTAAAACCGAGTACATTGGCGTTAAGGCAATATAATTCAAATATATTAGTGGCAGTTCTATTCTTAAAGTTCAGAATAATATTTTCTCTTGTATTAGCTGTTAAATGGCTTTAGTTTAGAGGAATTCATTTAACTACGTTGACAAGCTAATGGCTAGTTCTACAACAGCTAAGAGTTTTAAAACTTAAATCTAAAAAAGTCATAAAGTCCATAAAAACAGGTTTTAAAGGGAACCCAGACTAGTTACATTAGACATTATTTAACAGACTTTTACTTCAACTGTAAAATAAAGACTTTAAAAATACTGTAGATTGTTTAGGTTTCTCTAAATTGTTAAAAACACATCACATAGGCAGCGCCATTTTAAAACAGCTGCAAAGCATACTGGGTAAATTATGACATATACAAGGTGTTCTAGTGCGAGCTCTATCCAGCTTGAAAGTTAATTTTGGATATATCTGATGATCAGCCCTTTTAAACAAAACCAGAGCGCATTAACAGAGAGGAGAATTTACAAATGACTCAGTCTGTTACTGAAAATAAAGATGGAGGACCTCAGTTTAGCCTGTTACCTTTCACTTTAGCGCCTGAGCTAATATTAGCTCGGGACGGGAGCTAACGCTAAAGCTAGTGTGACAATGTTATTTAAAATTTATAAAAAACTAAACAGTCTACAGTAATTTTAGTCTTTGTTTTAGAGCTAAAGCAGATGTTGATTAAATTAGGCCTAATGTTACAACTAGTCAGGGTTCCCTTTAAGAAAAATCCACATAATGACCATCCATCTTACATTTTGACCACATTTTAGCAAACTGTTGCAATGAAAACACAACAATGTGAGCAAAAAGAAAAATAATATATTATTTCATTTCCATATCAAGGTTAATTTCTTTCAAACAACAAAAAAAAAAAACAAGCATCACAAATCACGAAAACAGGTTGGCGTGAAAATTTTAAAGCTAAAAACATGTTTCAATACATTAATAGTTGTTTAAAAAAAACAAATACAAACAGCAGAGGATTAAAATGCCCTCACAGCAGGCATGTGTCGCACATATGCCCGCCAAACAAATCTTCCATCTGGCGTTAAGACAGATCAGCCTCAGGCATAAATTATCTCTAAGACAATCAGATTTCTTTGGTTTTTCAGTCAAGTATCTGCGCTCTGAACGACTACCTGCTGTTAACTTMACTGATGCCAAATAAAGTTCAGCTCGTCAACTTTTATACGTCAAAAACAATTAAAAGGTTGAACATGTACAGTAGGTGGTGCTCAGATTTTGGCATGTAAGCAAATTGCACTTTAACTAAACTTGACAACACTTGAAATAGTTAAACCACTTGAGTCGCTCGGCTGGAAAAATCCAATTTCCCAATTGACTGCTGATAAATGCTAACTAGCTGGTTATGGTTGACCCAATACAAGTCAGAGAGGACTAAAGACCGATATAACTAAAGGTGTGGGTTTTTTTTTTTTTTGGATTATTTAATACAACTCAAAGAAAAAAAAAACTTAATTGTATTAAAGTGACAGGTCAAGCTTCCATAGTTTGAGTTTTGTGGAAAACAATAAATATCTTACCTGTTATAGGYAAAAYTTCAAATTACCTCAGTTTGGAGAGAGAGAGTAATATTGACCAGATTGACGAGCTAACGGCTAGTCTGAGAGAAGTAAAACAAAAGCGGTTGCTTTTTTAATGTACATTTAAATTGTCAGTTTCACACTACTTGGGTCTGGCAGCGATTTTTGAAAATAAAAGTCTAGTTAAAAGGGGCAAATTTGAAAAATATAAATATATACA